GTTGCGCTCAATTAGGGAAGATACCACAGTTAGTGCCTTGTTCCGTCGAAATGTGCTGCGTAATCCAGAGAAAACGCTCTTCCTCGACCGGAACCGTCGATGGACGTTTCGCGAAGCCGAAGAATACAGCAACCAGATCGCGAACTACTTCAGCCGGATCGGATATTCCAGTGGCGATACGATCGCACTGCTCATGGAGAACCGTCCCGAATACGTTCTGTTTTGGTTGGGTCTCTCGAAGATCGGTGTTGTTTCCGCCCTGATCAATACGAACCTGAGCAAGAAACCTCTCACGCATTCGATTCGCGTGACGAACTCGAAGGCGATCATCTTCTCTTCCATGACCTCCAAGAACCTCATGACCGCAATTGATGATCTCAGAGGAGCTTCTCCGGAAATGAAACTTTTCCTGTTCGGAGAGCTCACCGAGAACGAATCTCTTGGCGCTACCGTGATTCAGAACGAGATCATCGCTGCTCCGATCGTGCCGCCGACATTCAAGGGCTCTCGGAACGATAAGCTCATGTATATTTTCACATCGGGAACGACGGGACTCCCGAAAGCAGCGATCATCAGACAGACTCGATACATGCAGATTGGATTCTCTTGCCGACACGTCATCCGCATCTCGCCGGACGATACGATCTATCTGTATATGCCATTCTACCACGCCGCAGCCGCGATCCTAGGAACCGCTCAATGCTTGATGCAGGGAACGAGAGGAGCCATAGTTCCCAAATTCTCTGCATCGCGCTTCTGGAGCGACTGCGTCGATTTCAATGTCACCGCATGCCAGTACATCGGGGAAATTTGTCGGTACCTGCTGGCTCAGCCTAGTACTCCGCTAGAGAAGCAGCACAAAGTGAGGGTCATGTTCGGCAATGGACTCAGGAAAGAAATTTGGTCGGAGTTTCAAGATCGTTTCAGCATCAGGAACATCGTCGAATTCTACGGATCTACCGAAGGGACAACCAGTCTGGCCAATATCGACAACACAGTCGGTGCCATCGGCTTTTTCCCTCTCGCTACGAAAATCTCGAGGAAACTCCTCCCGTTCGATATCATCAGAGTAGATCCCGTGAGTGGAGTGCCTTTACGAGGGGAGAATGGATTATGCATACCGTGCAAGCCCGGCGAAATTGGAGAAATCGTCGCTGTGATCTACGATAACGATCCCATGACCAAATTCGATGGCTATGCCGACCAGGAAGCCACGGCTAAGAAGATCTATCGAGATGTTTTCAAGAAAGGGGATCGCGTCTTCTCATCGAAGGACCTCGTCTACAGGGATGAACTGAACTACATATATTTCAAGGATCGACTGGGCGATACGTTCCGTTGGAAGGGTGAGAACGTTTCTACCACTGAAGTCGAGCAGGAAGTCAACAGAGTCATCAACGACTCGTCGATCGCCTGCTGTGCGTACGGAGTCGAAGTTCCCGGCACCGAAGGTCGGGCTGGAATGATAACGTTGATTGATGCGGAAAGTCGCGTGGACTTGAATGCATTGCTCTCGGGCCTGAAGGGTAGCCTCCCGGGGTATGCCATTCCCTCGTTCGTGAGGATTAGCTCGGTTGAGGACATCACAGGAACGTATAAGATGAGCAAAGTCAATTTTCAAAAGCAAGCTTATGATTTGAGGAGTTGTTCGCCTGATCCTCTGTATTTCTTGGACCCTGGCAGCCAGAGATACGTTCCGCTGACTGAGGAACTCCTCAATCGCATCAACTCGAAACAAGTTCGATTATGATAATTAGTCATGCTAATAAAATAATTTACGATGAGCAGCCTTCAGAACCTGCCTCATTTATCATCATTCACGCGAGTAATCTCATCCGGGGAACGGACTCCTCGTGACAAAGAATCACGCTGAATCGCTCGAGAACGATTTCTTTATGGGGGAGGGACAGTCTGGTCTAGTCCGGAAGCTGCTCGAACTTCTGGAGGACCCCGCGAGGGCTCTCGCTCTGCGGTGCTGAGGCGTCACGGTTTCTATCCTCCGTCCCCGAGAAATAAAAATAATGATGCTTCTTCGGGGTGCATTCTGCTGAGACGAATCGTGCTTCCAATGAGTATGTCGCGCCTGTAGCGCCGTTTATGCCCGATTTTCTAACGGGAAGAGTTTGCAGAGTGCACCGTCCGGTACTACACAGAAATCAGCAGCACGTCTCCCATGGACCGCCCCATTCGATCCTCTTGCGTGATTACAGCTGGCGAACCACTTCCGGCGCTAAGCCGAGAAACGATTGCGTTGAAGGTGCAGCCCCCAGCTGACTTTGAACGAGAAGCAGCCTAACCGACAACTATCACTCCGATTATCTTATCGCGACGTCTCTCGGTGCTATTCGCGTAACTCATTCCGTTTCGATGATACCAAGAAGAGCCGACTATCGCTAAGAATGATCGGAGCGAAACTTCCTTAAATCAGGTGTGCGAAACGATCGTATCTATTCAACGTTATCCGCGTAAAAGCGCGTAGGCGGGGATTCTAGATCAAGATCGCTCGTCGGGTCGAGAACACGGTCGGTTCAGGTAGATTCCTCGGGCCCTGACAGATACCGTAAATCTTCCAATAGTGAACTGGGCTACTATTTTTTCAAATACCTCCAGCGCGGGGCTTCTCCTGGAGAGGGGCTTCTAATATCCCAAGAGAAATCTTGCTCCGGAAAAAAAAATGATGGGTTTCTTGGGAAGAGCGTGTTCCCGGTCAGGGTGGAAATCCTTGGGCGCCGCGGTCCGGATTCTATCGCGTCAGCTTTTCCTCAGCCGACTTAGGCAGTGTGGGGTCTCCTAGTAGAGAGGGGCTCCTAATAGAGGGGAGCCCTACCGGAGAGATGCTCCTATTGGAGCGGGGCTCTTATTTTCTCAAAAGCTCCGGCAGGGGGGCTCAATTGGAGAGGGGCTTCCGCTGGAAGGGGGCTGCATTTGGAGTATTTACGGTATGTCCTATGCTGGGTGAGTCGAAAGTCCGAGTTTTCTCTGTTACGCTGCCTGCTTTCCCCACCTTGGGAATGATTCCGCCTCATCAACCGGATTCTAGCTCCGTACCGGAGATTGAGCGGAGCCCTCGTTGAGTTCTTCGTTCTCGAATTTTGTATACGATGAGTAGCTCACTGATTTTCCTCGGGCAGAGAACTTTTCCCCGCCCTCCGATTGATCGATACTTAGTTTGAAGAGAGAGCTGAGCGCGACAACGCCGCCGCTAGGGGTAACGCCGATGATTGCGGCCCTGCAATGGGGATATTTGTGAAGCGAACGTGGTAGTACCTATCAATCGGGAATCCTCTCAAGCGTATAATCGCTTCTCGAGAGTTTCAAAGGATTCCAGAGCATCAATGAGATAGTTAGTTTCGTTCTCCGGAAGACTTACTTTGAGCGTTCTGTTCGTCCTTCAGAGCGCCCAGAGAGCTGAGAACACAAAACCTTCCTCCAATACTCCCGGAGCTGTCTGGCATCGCTGATGAACGCAAATACTCCGGAATTCCATCAGAAGCCTCGATGAACCGTCGCCCAACCCCCTTGAAGCTTACGTAGAATTGGAGCTATTCGGGAGCTTCGTTTCGAGATGAGTCGAGATTCCCCGTCTCTAAAGGCGGCACTGGAACGCGACGAGTAGTTTCCGCCTCGGGCGTTCTGTGGGTACAGATAAGTCCAGGCTTGGATCAGGTTGCTTCCAGCGTGACATGGCAAAAAATATGTATCTTCCTCCTTTGATACAACGGGCTCTCGGGGAGTTTATCGCTCTCCTAGCGTGAGCAAGCGATGAATAATAATTCGTTTAGTAATCGATAAGGGCCACATGTTCAGATTCCTGGCCACAAACTTGTTACCTAGATTACGATGTGGCATATTTTCTCAGCCAAACGACAGACCTTCCCGAGCGCGTTGATGAACACCCTACGCAAGACGCGCTGAAGGGAGAGACCTACCATCGGCGTCGTCCCTGGCGTCTTACCTGATCTTGAAGAATCAACTCACAGGGATACCTGAGTAGATCGTCTCCGTTCGTGCCCCGAGAGGAGCCTCTCGGCGTCTTGAAACTGAAGGATCAGGAATCTCATTCGGTTGTCATATCGGCGGCTCTCTCGTCGACAAGCGCCAAGATGAGTCTGACACAAGTTGAGAAGATGCTCAATTGTTAGGCTCGATCTCCTGGTCCCGTATATTGTGGGTAAGTTCTCGCGATCTAGCGAGCAATACTCATCGGAGCTGGTCTGGAAGCATTTTCCCTACGGGGCACCCGATAGCTCCATCGCTCGCTCCGTTCGCATGAACGGAGTTTCATTCGTGAGGTTTATGGTCTCGTCAACGAGAATTCAATAACCATAATGATAATCTGGTTGGCTCAGCTTCCATGGGTCGAAAACTCGGGCGCCCTTGTTCTAGGACAATGTTATCGGCCCCACCCAGAGAGGACTCGCTACTCTTAAAAGACTCCACTTTCGGATTTATTTGGACCTTCTCTGGGATGACCCTTGACTGGCTGCGCGATCGGATAACGCGAGCTATATCACCCCAGCTCCGAAGAATTGAATACACCACCGAGGTGATATTTCTTCTACAGAAGACTTATCCTTCGGGAATCGTTGCAGAGGAGCAGTCCCAATGAATTCTATTCCAATAAGAACGATAATCTTCGGGAGAATCATCCTTCCCCCGTCCGAAGAGGGCTTGATCCAATAAACTCGGAATCCGGTTTTGAACGAATAGTCGACACCCGATAAGAGATTCCAGACTGCTATCCGCTTAATTAGCGAGGCCGCGACGACGGCGACTTTCGACTTCAGTGAACAACCTCATTGAGTTCATCGCTTCGTTGAGAGCGAACGACCTTGAACCTCGTCCGTGCTCACGTCGCCATCAAATTCCATCCTTGTAACAACAAGCGGAACCGAGACGAGAAGAATTCGCTCTTCCCCCGTCACCCTCGATACGAATGCATGAACGAGACAGAAGCGGATATCCCGGAGCGTCGAAATTTATCTGAAGGCGCCGTATGATCATGACTCTTCCGCGACTATAACCAGCCAGTAATAACAATTGAACGATAAGAAGAAAAGAGAGAATACACGCGCCGATATCCGGTCGAAAGTCCTCGCTTTCAGCGGGAATCTGATCCTTAACCTCCAGAATCGTCTCAGGCTCGCAGGCTGCTTGTTCGGCTCATCCTGTGCACGACGTTCCTGGTCGCCACGGCGAAACTCGTATATGAGTTGATTGCTCCTTTGATGAACAGCTTTCACGGTTCGCTTAGTCTTGCTTCGTTTATTGAATTTGCGGATCTGTAACTCAGATAGAAAGCACGCGTCTCTGAGCTACTCAGGACAAACCACGGCCAGATGTGTCCTAGCTCGCTCCGCATTATTTTCGCTAGAGAGGAGGAGGACGACGAGGAGAAGGAAAAGACCTTCAGCTTGATGAGGTTTCCATCTTCTTTGCTGAGCAGTACGCGTACGATGACCGTCTCTAGGGTCGAGAGTGTCACACAAGAGAAGCACGTCAGCATGTACAAATCCATTTTGGTGAAATAAGGGACCGGAGGGATGAAGAAACGAGTCTGTAAGCCGCATCATTCGATGAGACTCACACGTCTGTGGCATTCACGTCGGGAGGCCTCGTAATGTCTCCCCATGCTCGGATTGAGGTAACAAGGTGCGCACCTGTATGAATATAACGACCATCGCCTGGAAAACTGTAACGCAAACATTCACCCGACTATCTGTGGACCTGATGCTCATGAAGAACGGACAGAAAGAAGCAATGACCAAGAGGAACGCTGGAATGTACGTTGAGCACAGCTGGTAGAAAAGTTTCCGTCGGAATGCGAAAATTACGCAGAGCCCTGGAATCGTAATTGAACTCCGATCATGCTGAACCGAGCGAAACTCGGTCGAACGAAACTCAATAATAGACTCGCCTACCATCGAGCTTCTGAACTGACTTCGAGTCTGATTCTGAACAGGGGTAGACTCGCACGTAATTCTCAGAGAGCACCGAGCTTCCTTCGTAGACGATATGGTCCAGGCCGGGCTGCTTGAGCAAACTGAGCTGATCCCTGCGATAGGCGAAGCTCCGCATGGTCAAGCGACACTCGTGCCGATCCACGGGGAAATCGCTGTAATTTTCGACTTTCAATTTCTCCGACTGCCAGAACTCCAGCATTCGCCCGCTGAACTCGACAAGTCGAATCCGTAGAACGCGCGGCCATGATCCTGAAATAAACTCGAGATGCTATCCCCCGCCCCGTGCCGTTGAGCGTTTGGTCGCAGCCTCATTCCGGTCCTCCACCTTTCTTGCGCGAGAAATCGCAAATTCGGGGATGCTCACTAAAACTTCATGGGGCAATTGATTATCATCCTCTGTCTCGTAATGAGTCGCATCTCCGGCGGCTCTGTTCCCGATATGTAGAGCGTTTGAGTCGGCGTGTCTGCGGACGGCATCTGGACGTCGCGTGCTTGAGGGAAGTATGAATCTGGCGTCCAAAAGAGCTCCATCTGCGAGATGCGGAGCTGTGTTAATTATGAGCCAGCGATGAGCTCTCCACCGCTCGATGGAGAAGCTTCACATTCGGAAGGAGCGAGAATTCCACGTGGAAGATTGGAGCGAGGCGCTCACAGGCAGAAACCAGAGCGGAGTACTACAACACAATCTCCGTCCGAGGTTTGGGAGAGCAGGTACTAATACAGAACGATTGTATATCGATTGCGAAACCTTCCCCGAATCTCCATATGTCGGATCGGGATTCCGCGCACCCCGCAGCTGGAAGTTGGCACTGCCCGAGAATGAAGTTCATATTTGTGGACGCTCGCGCTCCTTCCTATCGTATGATTCCACCAGGGGAGAATTCCCGTTACCTTTTCCGGAGGGATTTTCACCGTTTCGTTCCTTCGCACGGGATCAGCTATGCTTTGGTTCTTCATCATTGCAAAGGTTTTGCTGGCTGTATACTCTTCCAAGATCCATGAGGTGTCTAGGGTGGCATCAATAGAGAACTGCATCGTCCGGGATTCAAGATCGGATATCGAATTGACCTCTATGCGGGGCGTTACGACGATTTCTTGGAAACCGACGGGCGATACATATTCATCCCTCTGGAAGAGAGCAATGGAGGTGCTCCTGATTGAACCTGATCATTGCCTCGGACGGGATGTCATAGCTTCCCTATGACCAGATTCTCGCTCTCGACCTATGGATGGAGCTATCGTACTGACGCACCTCTAAGGTCGAATTGACAACCGTTGCGGATGAGACTAGCGAAAGGATTAGTGCACGGAGACCTCTTGGACACATTTCACTGCTCCGCCGAGGAGCCAAAATTTTGAGTGGAGAAAACTATTCGCAAGCAATCGTCTTGGCCACCGTTGGACTGTTCCCGTAGGAATCGAACTCGATCAGCGTGTCGAGTATTCTTTCCACTCGATTCACGCGAGCGAATAATCTGATTCCAGCAGAGCGTATCGGTGATCCCGTCGGTTCTGAGCGGATCCAGGGACCGGATCACTCATTTCTCCACCGGCTCTCGATCCCGCCGGCGCTGCAGGCCCTCAAACGATCACCTCACGAGTACGCGCGATTGCGTGATCGCAGAATCATTCTACCAGAGAGCTGCATTCCTCTGTAGGTGAATATGCATGGATCGGTTGCTTAAGGGATGAATTATCAACTGGAATGAACCTACCTAATTGCGGAAGGATGGGGCGCCTTCCCGCATCATTATCGGCAAAATCGTCGCATGTTTCGACACGAATCCCGATCACCGATCGATCATATGCAGCGGATGCTCTTCGCGTGCTCGGACTCTCTAACCTTTCCTGAAGCGGTTGCATTTGCAGCTGCCTGGCCGAGGCGGCGGTAAGAGTTTGAGGAAAGTACGGCATGCGGATTTTCGCTGCCTGTTCGGTGTTTGACACTCACTCTAGTGCGAGGGAAACTTTCACATCAAGGTTCTTTCTCGGGAGAACTTTGAAGCTGCTGGTTTCCGAGCCCCGGACAGCCCCGATACTCGCGCCGGAGGTCTTTTATTTTTCAGGGAGCAATCCGTGTTATTGTTGCTTGAACAGGGTATTCGCGGCGGCGTTCTGCCGCGAGTGCCATCGCGTCCCAGGTGATGGATATTAGGCAGTGTGACGCCCTCCAAATTAAAATATTCCGACCTCCCTTTTCAAGCTAGCTAGCTAGCTAGCTAGCTCGTCCCCCTGCCCCTATCTTCTCCATCACCTGCCTTGATTACCTGCTCCATTCATTATCGGCACAATTCCAGAAGCAGCCCCTCTTGTACCAGAATTTCGAGCTCTCATACTGTCCCAGGGCCAAAGCCGAAGTGCGTCACAAATCACAAAGACTCAGGTCTCATGTTGGGGTCGATAAGCTCGAGCCTGATTCTTCCGAGCTCAATTCAGAGAGCTCCGGCGACTCTGTAAAAGGCGTACAGTCTTGGAGACTCGCAGTCTATCCCTTCCTCCCCCGAGTCCTCTCGCTTCCATACAAGGCCGTAGGAGTATTTTGACAAAGAAGCATATCATGTTCCTCCATTCTTGGTTTTTATTCGAGAATCTCTCAATTCCTATCCATCGTCGACATGATGATTTGCAACCAAGGAAAATAAAGGGCTGCTCACGCCGTCCTAGAATTCCTGATCGATGTTCCCGGACTATCGCCATGGGGACGTGTTCATGCCATACAAGATGATGGCGTCCAAGCACGTCTTTCGGTGGATTGATCGAAGCGATAATTCGAGCGGACAAAATACGGGACGGCATGCCAGTATCGATCTTCAATCTCAGACCATCAGGAGGGAGTGCACTGGTTCTCTTTTATCGGTGATTCGTTATGGTATCCGTACTTCATAGAATTGTTTGATACGCTATCTACGTATTTTAATATATTTATCATCCTTTCAATAACGTCGTCACAGTTTTGCTATTCTTTGGTCTTTCTGGCTCTCAACAAAATTCTCTGCTCGCTTTGGATTGTATGTAAAATCTGAGGATCCCTCTGTGGTTGCTCTCTTCAAGTATTACCATTGCTGCAATATAAATTGAATACACATTTGTCGAAGCTCAACGATCCAAAATGGCTTCGCCCGAAGCCCCATACGTGATTCTTTCCGTATCAACGCCTGGGTGATTGAGAGCTCGACGAGGCCATTTGGTGCTTAGAGATTCCTCCCCTTCAGAACGCCGAATCGAACGATTTGACCAGCAACGACTCCTGATCTGGTTCCGGGTCTTTGCTCAGTGGACTTGTACCTGTAGGAAAAGCGGAACCCTTATAGCTGAACGACGAACGAACCCAATTCATTGAGGAGGTCAAGCCTCAGGAGACAACTCACATCGTTTCCAGGCGGGTTTGATCGCACCCATGATAGGGACAGCGGATGCGTTCTCTGAAGGTGGCATCTCAGCTAATGGCTTCACCCCACTCTGCACAGCAATCGAGGCCGGCCAACTTGTTTGCGGCGGAGTCCCTCTCGAGGAATCTGCAAATGGAAAAAGTCATGATGGAGCGTTGCTCTTTTCGGCCTTGATGCGTTTGCTCAACGCCCCCGAGGTGCCGGGCTCACCCGGGAGCCGAAAAGGATGTTCCACTCCGGTGGAACGCGGCGGAGTTTTTCGATCAGTCATTAGCGATATCCTACGCAGCGGAGAGCAATCACAAAAATCGTATGAGCCGAATAGCGCCTGGCCTGCGTCAAAGACCCAGGGAACCAGGTGATTCCTCGCTAATGTACACAGGCCCTGAGCAAAGCCAACAGCTTCTGCTGACGGGAGCTCGCTCTTGTTAGGGCTTCCGTCTGACTCAGATGAGAGTTCCCGTCTTGATTGCTTCCAGCAAACATCGAGCGGACTTCGTCCTCAGAATCGAACTTCCACGGGAGGGAGCTCGTAATTAGAATCGTCCCGTTCCCCTGCTGGAGTGGGTTTGGAAATGCGGAAATTCCGTCGCCTCTTCCATCGGTCGATCTAAGCGGTGAGAATCATGTGATCGGGGCCACAGCATTTTTCCGAGTCGGAAGAGTTCCGCGATTCCTCCTCTGTGTGACTCTGGGTACATGTAGCGGTTCCCGACGTAAGAAAAGCATCTCGAGACAGGAAGGGGAGAAGTAGCGTCTGCGACCTCGAAACTTCCCAAGAAGCAGTCGTACCTCGCGAAAAATATGAACTTTGCTCTTTCTCCCCAGGATGTCGAAAAAAAGGATCGAAAAACGATTCGGAAAACTCCAGACGCTGGCTGAGTCTGATTGATTCCCCCATTCCATTCAGAATCTGACTTTGGCCGGGATTAATACGTTCCATGGTACGGAGCCGCCCACACGAAAGACCGCCGCAAAGTCGGAGCTCACGGATCTATTTAGGAAAATTTCTCCGCGCAAAATACGTCACGAACCTTGTGATCGTTGAGAGTGGATTCCGTCGGCTCTCGATAGTCGACCGCGTTCGGGGGTTGAGGACTGCAAAAAATCGTATCTTTCATGTTTTTATCGCGACAACAGACGCATTTTTATGGAACTTTCCATCAGCTGGGCCGCCACTGTGCCTCCAGTGACTAATTCTCTCGAGTTCAGGAAAGTGCTCGATCAAATGAATCTCTTACTGGTGAGGAACGTACCCCGAAAGAGTCATGTTGTCGATGGGTTCGAATGCTACTGGGACTGCTGAGAATGTGCTGGGGCGAGGTGGTCCTTGAGAATTCGAAAACAAATTGTTCGACGTCCTGCAACGCAATCCGTCACTTGAGATACTCCGATTATGCTCTTCGAGCAATCCCCTAGCAATAATTCTCTGAGGTGATCCACGGTGATGAGTGTGACGTAGAGAACGGCAGCGCAGATCACGCTCCAAGGTCACAGCTCGCTCGATATTCCTGCTCTCCGAATCGCAAGCAGGAACATCTAACGTTTGGCTCCCCCACCGTGTCATCTCGAGAGGCACTGCCTTATCCGTTGGTTCGCGACTTGGTCTCGGATGCTCGGGCTTCAATTTTCCGCTCACCTGAGGAAACATTGGGGGAGGGGAGCGAATCAAGTGTTGGTGGAGGTCCTCATGGCGGTTGTCCATCTGAGACGTAATTGACAAAATATCTTCGTCCTTCGGACTGGAGGAAAAGAGCAACTGTTGATGATCGTCGGGAACGGTTGCCGGAGAGTCCGGCATGGCGTGATCCTGGAAGAGATGCAGAGTTCGCAGTGAACTGAGCCTCTAACGGAAACGGAAAACAAATCTCATCCGATTACGACGGGGACGCTGGAATGAAGTTTCGGCGAAGAGGAATCGTACACCAGAGACGTGCCGTCACGGAAAGAGGAAAACAAGCGCTGAGCCAGTCAAGAACAGCGTGATGTGTAATTACGATCGATGGCGCGAACAGTCCCGCGGAAGGCTCCTCTTGAATCTACGGGGTTCAATCGTGCTTCCGGGGCCGATCCGTGGGACGTTCGACATATCGGAGGGCGAGTGAGGGAACCACGTACCTGGTGGTGAAGGGAATGCCCGTCAAACCTTGAGAGCCCTTCAGAGAGAACGGAGAATTTCTCGATCTGCTGTTGGATGTATGGATTGTCTTGTCGACTTTGGCGTAGTAGTTCCATGTCTTCCTGAAGACTTCGCGCGTTTCGAAGAGACGGCGATATTGAGAGGATGTCTTCGGCTGATGTGGTTCTGTACCTCCCGCTCGGAATGTTCAGCGGAGACGTGGGCCGCAAACGATTACTGACGGATGGAAGCTAAATTATTCAAGCGCACGAGAACCGACTTTTTCACAGCTTAGGCATAGAGAGCTTCCTCCGCTTCTCCTCCTTGAAGGAAACCACGAATTCTCTCCCTCCCTCACGCCTTCCCCCCCACACGACTCCTCTGGACAGGAGTCCTGCCCCGGACAGCTCTCGACGGAGCTTCCACTTTTCCTTCGGACGAGCGACGGATTAGCTAGGATGGAATCAGTGGCCCGAGTGCAGCGCGGAGAACGACGTTGATCATTCGACAAATCGCCACGCTTCTCCATGGAGTGCCGTGGGCTTGGTTTCCTTGATCTTCCCGAACATTAGGGAAGGTGTTTTTATCCAGAATGAGCGCCTTCCATACTTTAGGTAGTCGACACGAGTTTCACGCTTTATGGCAGCTGATCGCGTCCGTCCGAGTTCCGCGGTGTCGGAGGCTCTAAGCGGACTCGTCCGAAATGTCAGCGCCAGGGTGAACTGGAGAGCCCTAAGCGGACTTATCCGGAATGTCCGCTCCGAGGTGAACTAGAGAGCTCTGGTCGTTCGGGGTCCTAATGAGCCACTTACCCTAAACTGAGCGTGGGAGATCGGACTCCGTTATAAATCTGCGGTCTCGTGAATGGATTGGCGGATAGAGGTCGTTGTGGTTGTCCCGCACAGTCTAGCTCATCGACATACTCGTCGTCCAATGGATCCGCGTTCCGTCGCCTGGAATTCGAGTTTGGATTTTATTCGACCGCCTCGCCCTGCTACCGCCACGAGCATCGGTTCCTTGCACTCGCTAGCTGCTCCCCTGGATTCGATCTTCATATCGGACACGGTAGCTCTCACTGGCTTCAATATGTTTCGCCCTGCCTTCGCGTATCGAAGAGATTGCGAGGAACGATATCGAAGAAGACTCATCGAAGTTATCCTATGAGGAAAAACTCCCTGACCATATTATGATTTGTGCTCGCGATTGCTGGCAATATCAAGACACGAGGTTCCTATGGGGCTCTACGCTCCATTGATTGGGAAAATGGCGGGAAATCGTAGGGGACTCGGATTCAACGGGGAAAACATGGAATGATTGTCGAGCGAGCCGTCACTCGAACCCCTAGCAGCAGACTCGATTGCCAGGATGAGACCAACACTTCTCCGTTAGGCAGGGAACTGAAGAACTCGTGAGGAGCTTCAACAATTCGTTTGATTTCAGATTTAGCGCAGGTTCCCGATAGCTCATTCGCCTATTGGAGACCTTGGTCACCGGCACGAGTGTTCTGGGCGACATTCCGCAGGCGAGGTGGTTTCTCTTCCTATCCGTTTCTTCATTTCTAATGACCTTGTATCCTGCGGAATATCATTCCCGGATATCTTCTGCTCTCTAGAGTAGGGACGGAAATTTCAGATTCCTAAGACCCTCATTATCTTCCGAGTTCGGACGCGGAACAGTACTGTGCTCATTGCTTATCTCTCGAGAGCTCCGTACTATTGGCACGAAGTAGGGAGACTCCTGGCCGACACACCGAATAAATATTGCGTTCGAGTAAATCCGATTTCGTCGCGATAAAAACGAGAAAAAACTCGACGCCGTGGGCGGTACTTGGCCCACACCTCCAATTTTACGGCGGTCGACTAATCTCTACCCAAGGACACTTCGTAGCCTCTTGGCCAGGCTCCCTCCCGAGACTGCGGGTCGGAAGGATGGGAGAGAATTGATTGGAGGAACATCGCTGCAGAGTTGGGAACCTTCGATTTGCGTGCTCAGCCTCGGACCTCTCAATTATTACTCTGAAGAGCGAAGCTTCACAAACGATCAGAAGGTCCCTTCCAAGGTCAAGTCTTCCGAATCAGCGTCCTTTGAGCCACCGTTACCCATAGTCTCATTACAGTTCTGTAGGTTCTGCAGATTTATTCCGAACTCCTGGAAGTCGATACCGCGATCAGCGTCGCGATGTCTGCCAGAGCGACGTGGAATGAGCCGACGTGAGAGACAGATTTTCGGCTGCGATACCTGTCCACAATGCACAATCGGCGACAGATGGAGGTAGAGGCGATTCAAACGTGGGCTCGCTCCGTGGAACCTTTTGTAGTCGCGTTGCAAGCACGCGTGAATAATCGTCCCAGGCGGAACTTTTCATGGCACCTTCCCGCAGTCCTTGTGGCTCCCGCATCACAAGGGACTAAGTTTTTCGAAGTCATGGACATGGGCCGAGACGGATGACAGAGATCGCCAGAGTGCGCTACTCCTCTCGAGTTGACTCATCTGACGCAAATGTTGCCAGATGAGTCAAGTTGACACGTCTTCTCGACGTCGAGGCGAAACTGCTAGGACCATCTCCTCGGATATACGGGAGAGGAGTCCTGGTAGAAGTGACAGCTCTATTGTGCTAAGCTACCGGAGATCCGATGCCAGTGGAACATGTTCTCCTTACGACTGTCGGGATAGATAATATGCTATGAGGCAGACCCTACGCTCTCGTCAGGAAAGAGACCCAGCTCACGGGTCCTGTCCAAGTCTATATGGAACCTGCCGGGGAATGGGGAGATGCTTTTCGGAGCAGATGCTATTGATAAGACAAGTACGCTTGCTCGACCGAAATTCTCTAGGACGGGACAACCTCCTCGATGATTCGCTCGACCTACGACGCTCCTCTCAAATCATCGTCGACTGAGCGCGGTCCTACTCTTGGGCCGCGGTTTCAATCGCGATGCGCAAGTCTGAAGTTCCATCTTTCATCTCGGACTCCTTGCCGTGAGAAACTCGTCAGTTCGAAACTCAAGATTTTCACTGAACGGGAAACTTTTCGGCTCACATCCGTCGTATGAGCTCACACTCACGAAGCAGCGAGCGATGTTCACGGATTCCGGGAAGCTGCCAGCCAGATTCTCTCGCCCTCTGCTTCGACAGGCAGGTTAATTGGCAGGTTGAGAGCGTCCTCAAGTACCTACTATTGGTGGGGTGAGTCGTACGGCTCGAGGTGAAGTCCCGGACCCCGGACCATTCGGTCAGAATGGGGACAGGGACCCACGGACAATATCGGCATCGGAACATTGGAAACATTCCTACGCACTGCTCTTGATGGGTAAGGCCGAGAGCATTTTTGGATCAGAGAGAAGTCTGTCGAACAGAGCTCCCCTCTTTTTGAAGGCATCCGTGCGTCAGATGGGATACACCTCATAATATCTCATCACTTCGAATGTAATCAATCAGATCCGGGTCAGCTGGCCCGTCCTGATCCTCCCCAAACCCGTTCTAACTTACTTGAACATATTTGTGATCACTTGCAGAGGGTTCCTGCTTCTGTTTTGTGACGACCCGAAGACCTCGCCGAAATGTTCCACTTTATTCATGACGATAGGTGCACCGTTGCGTCCTACCAGGGAACTATCGTTGAGCTGCAAAGGGATGCGAAATACAGCGTCAGACCGCGTCATCAATTCTTTCATCTGCTCCAATACCGACTCCCACGCTCGCTATTTCGGAAACGCGGCTGCCGCGGCAGCTAGCTCGGCGATGGAGGCTCCGGCCAATTTCATCAGCTCATTTGCTCTGTAGTAAATTTCCCGACACGCGAGAGACACCCTGTCGAGCGGAAAAAAAATCGTCTGGAATGTGTCTGGAGTCGGGAGCTCTTGATGAACAACAAGCGGAAGTTTCAATAAACGGATGCTCACAAAAGCCGCGGAGTTTCACCATCGGGGGATCGCTAGATCCCGTGTCGACTCGGCGCGTAAGAAAGTCTTACGCGTCGAGATCCCGTAAGCATCGACTGCTGCCTCTCAGTGAGATATTCCGCAAGATGGGAAATTACCCAATTGCTCCGCATCAGTCTATTCCTGGGCGGATATCTGCGTGAAGAAACACTAATAACCCGTGTGAATCCGGAGCAATGAGCCAATGTGGGAACGGAGCTCGCAGAGAAGCCCGCAAGAATGCTCCAGAAAAATCCAGTTTCTCAGCTATTCGCGGAGCCGCTCCTGCAAACGAGTTCCATCTCCATACGCACAAGCAACTGTCATCACCGCATGTGACCTATGTTTAGCAATGAGAGTCGCTGATCATCCGCAGCTCCGGCCTGGAGCAGTTTGGAGCGCGAGTTGGACAATGCGAGGGAATCGGCATCTCTCGAGGCCATGTTCTGCGTCCCACCGATCCCACCTACGGCGGTCGGAATAACAGAGCCACTTGGGATTCAGACAGCTCGCTCGGGCGAAGACTCAATTATTTCTATCGAAACTGTACGCTCCCGAGTAGCGGGAATCTACTGGCGAAGCCGTCGGAGCCCCAGGGAGCGTCGCCGACGTATACATATGTACTTCGGTTGTCATTTTATCCTCTCGTTCTTATTCTAATTAGTCTCAGATGACGAGTCGTCTTCAGGATCGAGTAGCATATTCCCGCCGAGAATTCTTGTGAATGGCAGTGGGCGTCGTCTACTAACTAAGCCGCAGATTCCGTATACGGGGAGTGTTAAGATGGGAGAGGCCGTTCAGGTGCGGGTTACGCTTGAGTGGCGTGTAGGCGGCCCGCCTTCCTCGGACGAGAGCGTGGAAGAGATCGACGAAAGGGAGGAGGTCATTTTTGGGGTAAGCCGAAAGCGAAGGTCACTTTCTAATGAAAAATCACCGCCAAGCCATGGAACGACAGCATGACGTGATATCGAGCGGAATCGAGAACAAGAAAGCCGAGGCCAAGCCGCGCGAACGATAGAGATCGCTCTGACACGTTTGACGGATGCAGGGCACGAAGAATCAGGCTTAGCGTTGGATATTATCATGTATCCGGTCCATCAAAACCTAGTCTGTCCATAGACTTAGTTCTACATTGAGTCAGGCGAGCCAAGAAAAATACCGACGCTTCAAGGGAGATAGGCAGCTGACTCGACGGGGTGAGCTCGTCCCGTCACTTGGGGAAATTCCGAGACCCCGGAAGCTGAGAAGAGCAAGAGAAGCTCCGATACGATGAGCCGATCGCTCTATGGCTAACATTGAACGAGAGGCGGATATTTTATTCGTAGATATCTCCATTCCGAGCCCGGGAACGTCTGCCGAAGATTTAGACGAAATCGATCTCCGCGATCCTCGTCGTCACGGCGATCTGATGAGAAGCGAACCGATCTCGAGTTCTGATATTGAAAGTGTTGTAACACGCGATGCACGCCACGAGGTTTCGCAGAATATGTCATGGCCGATGTGTGCACGACAATGGACGAGCAAGCGTGTCCAAGTCTTGCTCCGTACTCGGATGCTCCACATGAGATTCTCCACGAAGCGAGCGTCGAGTTGCGGGGCCCAGCGGAGCCTCTAGTTTTCCGCTGGAGCTTCATGAGTGTGATTCATTCTGCAGAGCCTCATTCTAGCCGAGTAAATGGTCCACGGGAGGATTACACCGAAATGTGCACCTTGGCCGCGTACTCAGCTTGATGTACAAATTGGCTTCACTCGTCTAGAGCGAGATAACCCTCTCTAGTAGCTTATCATTCCGCTTACGGGGAGGTGCTGGAAGCTCGATCTGGGAGCTAAGTGGAAGGTCATATCTCTCGGCCCAAAGGAACGCTCGCTGTTCGGCGCGTAGCTCGTGGTCTGGGTCTTGCAGGACCGCGGACTCTTGAATACACTTCTCTCGGGACAGTCTAACAAACAAGCGCGAGAGATTTTGCGGCTCGCTGCGCGGCTCGATGCAGGCTCCCCGGGATGCGGAACGTATCTTCTTATGAATCATGTGTTTCCGAAAACTATGGTTCCCCCGGCTCTCTTCCGCTGTGGAAAGGCTCATCATGTATGTTTCTTCCAAGACTTCGTCGTATGCGAGAAATCGAGAAAACGACGGAGGCCGCAAGTATCACACAGTGCCATCTTACAAGTAAACATTATTTTTCGAAAATGACAATCACCTGGTTTGACATGCTTTTCTGAGAGTTTCCGAGCCCCGGAGCAACCCCGAGTCGTTTTTCTCTGCTGTCCTGCATTTCCTACCCCTCCTCTGCAGGCTCCGAAATCCGGAAAAAACCCTATTTTCATCGAAATCCGGGATATTTTGCTCGGATATCAGTGGGAATGGGTCTTTCCGGGCTTCGGAACTTGGGAAAAAACATTTCCATCAAAATCCGAGAAAAATATCCCGGATTTCGATGTAAAAGGTGTTTTTTCCGGGTTTCGGAGCCTGCAGAGGAGGGGTAGGAAATGCAGGACAGCAGGGAAAAACGACTCGGGATTGCTCCGGGGCTCGGGAACTTTCAGAAAAGCATGTCAAACCAGGCGATTGTCATTTTCAAAAAAGAATGTTCACTTGTGAGGCACGGTCATCGCAAGC